AATAAAAATAATGAATTCCTTCAGAATGGTCAAGAAAGGAGACTTTCCCAAAAGGAGAGAGTACTACTCCTCAAATTATGTGGGGATAAAACCAGAGGAATTTTTTAAACTGCCTTTAGAAAATTGAAGTCTCTTTCCAGAATACTCTTAAAACTCCAGGCTCTTTGGAAATTGACAGCTTTTGTATTCAAGCCTTTGGCTCAAATACTCTGTCACTTGGAATCAGATTGGAGGTTGGGGGGTATAGCTCAGTGGTAGAGTGTGTGCACGCCCAAGGTCCTGGGTTCAATCCCTGATACCTCCAATTAAAAAAAAGAAAGTGTCAAATCAGAAGCTGTCTGGGGTGTGTGTGCACATGCACTTCCTCATTTGCTGGTCTGGAATGAGTGCTCCCAATTTTTAAATGAGTTAATTTTTTATGATGTTTGCTGGCAACTTATGGGTGCATGCTTCATGGGAAATTAACTGACTGTAAATGAAATTGGGAGCACTCATTCCACAACCAGTAGTTTGGGGTATTTTAAAGCCTCAAGATGAACAACAAAAATACTCTGTTAAGGGTGAATATAAAAAAAACATGTTTCTGCACCTTAATGGTCCAATTTTGATAGAAGTAATAAATTATAGCCACCATTTGTTGAGTGCCTACTATATGCCAGGTGCCTGTTGTCACTTAATCATCTCAGCAGTCCTGTATGGAAGACATTATCTTCCCCAGGTTAGGGGTGAAGGAACCTGCTTTAAATTACTTACACAGCTAGTAAGTAGCTACAAGTTTTGAAACCTAGTTCTTCATGATCCTTGAGCTGCTGAGGCAGAATTGCCAGTTTATTAACTGTCAGAGGTGAGTGACTGACCCCCAGCAGGGCATCAAGGATCCAGTGGGGTGCAGAACTTGTGGGCACACCACCCTGAAGTGCTTCACATGTGAAGAGAGACAAGTAAAACAAGCAGTGACCCGTGGCATGAAAGTGTGAGACAGGTCAGTTAAAAGAGGGAGCAGTTTTGATAGTTCAGATACAAACTAGAGCTGGACTTTAGGACTTTCCACAGAGTATCTCTCCCAGCCCACTCCTGTTACTAAGGCCTTGATAGTTAGCCTAATTCATGCATGAACAGTGATGCACTTAAAGCAGTATATTCTCTTACGCAGGCTAAACATGCCACCCGCATTTATTTGCTGTGGCTTAGTTCAGACAGATTTGGGATCAAATGCTGATTTAGCCCTGATTGGTGGTGGGGAACATGTGGACAGAGAATGCCTTGAGCAGTTGATTGTTCATTTCTGAAAGTGGGAAAATAGTTTCTATCTCATTGGACTGTTGTGAAGAATTAACATGAGTGATTCAGACCCAGTGTTGGTGGTGGGGATGATTACCTTCATCTTCATCAACTTGAGGCTTTCTCAAATAGTGGGGAGAGATTCAGGACAAGGCTAGTTTGTCATCCTAGACCTACTACCATGGAGATGTGTGCAAATGGCATCACCTTGCCCCCCACCCCACCTCAGGCTTCAGTTTTCTTATTCCTAAAATGGGGCAGTAATGCCTACATTATTGTGGAAATTGGGGAGAACATATATGACACTGAATGTGATACTGGGACATAGTAATCAGTGATAATTATTATAGTTATAGTTAGTTGCAAAAATTTAATCAGAGCTGCAAAAAACTGTAGCCAGTATTTATTCAGATAGTTTATTTATTCTCATATCCTTTTATCTTTCTGGGACTCCAGTTACGTTTGTGTTAGACTGCTGGATATTGTCCCCACATGTCATTAAGACTTTGCTTATTAGTCTTTGTGCTCTTTGTGCTTCAGTTGGAATAATTTCTACTTAACCTGTCTTCAAGTTTACTGCTGCTTTCTTCTGCAGTGTCCAGTCTGCTATTAGTCTCACCAGTTAATTTTTTATTTCAATACTGTAATTTTTAGTTCTTGGATTTCCATTTGGTCCTTTTTTAGAATTTATATTTCCTCTGAAATTCTTCATCTCTTCACCCATTTTCTCCAGCTTTTCCTACGGATTCTTGAATGTTTTTATAATACTTATTTTTAAAGTTGTTATATACTAAATCCAATATCAGGGTTGTCTGTGTGTCTCTTTCTCTTGACCGTCCTTTTCTCTCTTGATTTTTGGCTATATTTTTCTGTTTCTTTGCATGGTTAGTAATATGTTTGCATGGTAGACACTGTGAATTGCATGTTGTAGAGACTCCAGATTCTGTTCTTTTTCTGTGAAGTGTGTTTTAAAAGTACATTGTTAAATTGCTAGTGATCACCATCACCTTGATCCTGTAAAAGTTTTTCTTAGGGTGAGTTTTAGTTTTGCCCCTACTCCTAGAATATAGCCCTTAGTCCGAAGGCATGGACCTTGGGGTTTCAGCCTAAAGTGTTTACCAAGCCCTGCCAACTTTGTGCGTCTTGAATTCATACTTTCTCGGCATTGGGAAGTGGCTGAAATCTGCTCGGCTCTAAGATGTCGTTTTCCACTGGGCTTATCATTCATGCATGTGCAGTTCAAGGTCAATCAAGGATTTGAAGGGAGACTATATACAGATTTGAGGGTTCTCCTTTCTGTGACTTCCTCCTTTCTAAAATCCCCCCCCATTAATTTCCAGCTGCTAATGCAATCTTGAACTCTGACCTTTGGCACCTCAGCTCAGTAACAGGCCACTGTGTCTGCTGAAGTTCTGTACTCCTTGCCCAGCATGGACCGAAGTCTGCCTTCAGTTAAATGTGGTCTTCCCCAGAGCAGTTCCCTTCCTTGAAGGATAATATCCCCTCCTGTTTCTTCATATTTTTGTTTCCTTTCCAGTGGCTTCAAATGGTTTTTTTATATGTTGTCCATCATTTTTCATTGTTACTGACAGGAGCCTTGTTGTAGTACAAATTACTCTGTCAAGTTATCAGCTACAGACCTTTGATTATTAAAATTATATACGAGTAATTAATTTATTAAGCACTTCTTGAGCATATAGCTGTAAGGAATTGACAGAACACTGTTGGCTCACAGGAGGTTACTATGCTTTAGGGCAATTGGACTTGCATAAATAATTAATATATGATGGTATATGACAAGTGACTTAAGAGAGGTATACCTTCAGCTCAGGTTAGTGGAGTTAAAAATTGGGGTTTCATTTATTCAGTCAAAACTATTAAGTGCCAGAGAGGGAAGTGGGTAATAGGATGAACAGGTTAAGCAGTGATTTCTGCACTCTTGAACTCAGTTTATTGCAAAGTGAAATGTATTTACCTACAGTCATGCTTTATTTGAGGTTAGGTTTTAAGGTGTGGGTAAATAGAAAGTAACCCATGGGGTCAAAATGAGCCTTGAAAATCTTTGGATGGCCTATAAAGTACATTTAAAACGCAGCTCTTTGGGTGTTTTTGCAAAGTACTGGTGTTACTTTAGGAGCCCTGCTGTTTAATACACACACACACACACACACACAATTTTTAAGCCAGTCACCTTTAGCCCAGGGAGAGGCTCCCTCTTTGAGCAGGTGAAGAAAGAGCAGGTGGCATCAGTCCTCCTGCCCCCGGGACACATGTCATTGAGAGGAATGGGGGCCCCGGTGCTTCTTACGTTGTTTTTGCTCTCTCTGTCTTGTTCTTTCAGATTTACTAAGTTAAATCGCATCAGGTAAAGGCACAGATGTGTAACCCCATTCGTGGTTTTTCCGTCCTTCTCTACTAAGCCTCTTTAGCATTTAAAGATTCAGGTTAGCGACGAGCTATAGTTTTCCTTCAGGAGCACCTTTCTCCTTTGAGCAGACCCTCCTTGACAGTTTCAGTCAGGGTTCTGTAGCCTGCCTGTACCTCACTGCCTCTTACTGCAAACTGCATTTTGACCAGGCTCTTGGGTGACTGATACCTCAGCAAATTCAGATTATTTTTTCCTGTATAAAGACATTTCACTTAAACTGTTACAGGGTCTGGAGGAAAACCAGGGTCTTTGGGGTTTTTTTCTGTGCATGATATTCTCTCCAGGTTTGCCTAAACCATTCCTCTTTGGCACATGCTCTCCCACCCACCTGGACTATCACACGTGAAGCAGCTCCATCACGGTTCTTCACACAGAGGCGACCGTGCTCTGCGATAACCCCTTGGAAGCAGTTGTGTGTGTGTTGAATTGCATTTGTGGCTTTGGATGTGGGCAAGAATTCTAAAGTATTTGTTTCCAGGACTGGAGGGACTTTCCAGTGGAGTCTTTAGCCCAGAAAGATAACTACTTATTGATTTTTCTGATGCCCTGTTTGGGTATGGAAATCAAGCAAGTTGCTATTGATTCTGAAGTGTTCGTGGAGCATCAGTCCCGTAGGACAGAACACTCGGGGGCTGTCAGAGGATGACTTGCATGGACGGTTTGTCGCTTGCATTCACAGACAGCAGAAGGATGTTCTTTCCCGTCTCAGATAATTGATCACACATACACTTTTTCTCTGTGGAGAATTGCAGGGCACTGCTACCCTGGAACACCTGGGGCTGATTTTTTTTTAATGGCATTTTCGGTTTAGATTTTTTTTCTCACTGTGGAAGTATAATGTGTATGAACATCTTTGATAGAAAAGAAAATACAAATCTGCTGGGTTTCTGTTTAAACTCTTTCTCGTTGTGTGCATTCTCCATCACACATGGCACACTGCAGTGACATCCGCACGTGTCCCTCCACAGCCCTCCTCCTGCTTGTCTGTTGTCCTCCCTCAGGGAGAGGCCTTTTTCCAGGAGTTCTGAGTGGAGATGCCTGTGTGACTGTTGTGTCTGGGGGTGTTCTGTGCTGCGTGCCCGGTGAGGAGTGAGGGGAGAGCAGTGGCCCCGGAGCTGGAGAGCTGGTATGTGACCTCTGCCCTAGACAGAAGTCGCTTACATTTCTTAGCAAGTCCCTTCATTTCTCAGGACCTCATTTTCTTATCTATGAAACAGAGAAGATGATCTTTACCATGTCTATTTATGAAAGAGTTAGTGGTTATAAAATGAGAGGAAAACTCCTTTGCATCAGGCTTACCTGGCAGGGGAGACACCATGATGGCCAAGGTGGTTCTCCCAGGGCGAGGCTCATCCATTGCACCCCGGATGTGCTGAGCCCTGCAGTTTCCCCAAGTGCATCATTTGCGGTAGTAAGGGACTAGTAAGGGACTGCGTTCGTGCTTTCCTCTCTATTTAAAAGAAACAAATTCTTCTGCAACCTCAAGTGCATAGTCATACCCTAAGGGGAGTTGACGCCTTTCCCCAGTGACCTTTCGATCTCTTCTGTAGTCATGTGCTGTTGCCTCCCTCGACCTCACTGTACTCTGCACCCATCGAAGGCAGGAAGCCTGGTCTTTAGATTCAGCTCACTTTTCTTCTGTGAGTCTGACTGGTCTCAGTTTGTAGATCCCTTTTAACCTGAGGGAAAAAGTGAACCTTCTATGAATTTAAAAAAATAAAAACTTGCGAGACAGAATTTTTCAGTCAGTTTTAGGGGCTTTTGGTGCCCTTGAAATTGAGATCAGAACCATTGATTGATATAAATAGTATGTTAGCACATAATATATATGTGTAATTAATACATAAATGAATGGTTACATACATAAGCATTGATTGGAAATGTATGCTTAAAAATGTTCTACTGATGAGGATGGATGATCAGAAATAGTCTTGGGAGCACCGGTCCAGAGGGGATCTGCTCAGGCTCGGTCCTATCCTAGGACCTACCCCGTCTGCCAGGCCTGCCCCTCCTGGGGTCTTGAGTTTTTATTTTCTCTCTGATTATTTTCCACATAACTTATAAATCAAGAAACTAAAGCCATGAAGGACTGCGAGATGCACCCAAGGCCACAAACCCAGTGACCTAAATAACCTTTGTGTCTCAGTGCGGATGCATGATGAAAGTTTATGAATTAATCGTAAAATGGGGAGCCGTGTTTCCTGAAGTACACCTGTTTCTGAGGAAGCTCGGCTCTGTTAGACGATGGGCACTCATGCTGTGGGACGCTGGGGGAGGAGAGGAGTTGGTTGTCTCTTTTCTAGCTCTTCTTAGGGACCAGATCTCAAAGCATTAAAATTACCTTGAGAGCCGTCAGCAAACCGAAGTGTGATGTATGTTTTATCTGACAGCTAGGAAGCCTGAATAATGGAGCCAGAAGAGAGAACATTTCTGCTTCTGCCATATGGAGTGATGTTCAAGTGCCGTTTTAAATGCTGAGTAATAGCCCCGTGGAACTCTGCAGGCATCTTTCCTCAGGCCCTGTTAGTTAATGGATTTGTCAGTGCTGCAGAAATGGGAGTCTGCCCGCTGAGTTTCCAGATAACACCCCAGGGGCTGGGGCACATTCTTGCAGAAGCTTGGCTAGAACTTTGAAGGAACAAATCCAAATTCAAAATGACCTTGAAAAATCAGAGGAATCAATCATCCAAAGTGGTATGGAGAAAGACAATTTAAAAAAAATATGCAGTGGGCTTTCTGCCTCCAAGGATGTTGCCTTTAATCGTAACAATAGATTTGTGCAGGAGGTGGCGGTGGGAGCAGGTGGGGAAACTGAGGCCCAGGGATGTGAAAGAACTGCTCGTAATCAAGTGGATGTTCTCTCTGAACTAGAGAATGTTGTATGTCAGAAAATACAGACTTTGGACTCATAAATCCAGCCTTCATCCCCCAATGACATGGTGTCTATAAAATTAAAACATGTTGTTTTCAAATTTACAGGATGGCTGTTACCTGGCTTCATGGATTGGCATGGGGAAGGGGATCTGAGCCCCAGTCTGACCATGAACAGGGATGGAGGGCAGTGCTTTTAAACTTAGCGTCCCTGGTTCTAGACTGAAGACAGTGAGCTCTAGAGAGACCCAAGGCCCCGTGTTAGTTACGCCGTGTCTCTCCGCACTTAAGCAGGCACTTGCTTCTTAATCCCTGGGTACTTGACGGTGCCTCTATGGTAGGCTCTTGCCTCCTACCTGGAACGGGCATTACCCCAGTCTGCTTGCTAACCAGCTGTTCGTTCTTCAGGTTGCTACTCAGTTCCCATCTCTTGTGAAACCTAACCTGCTCCATCCAAGTTTTGCCATGTATTCATTTATTTATCGGATATTAAATGGGTGCCTATGACAGGCTGTGTTAAATAAACTATATTTTCATACAGAGGAGAGGAAAGTCAGAACTCTTCCTCATGACATATGACTACATCCATTGCTGATGGATTAAGTATTTAAATATTAAGAGAGTAAAACTGAACTAAATATTAGAAGGTTTTAGGACATATTTTAAATAACATTAGAACCCTTCTTCGTGCTGTATGAATAAATATATTGCATTGGATTAAAGATTTATATGTTTAGAAAAAATGCTGAGTATTAGAAGGTTTTAGGAGCATAAGCAAGGCAGGAAACCCAAACGTCTTTTGGGTAAAGATTGGTATATTTGACTACATGAAATTTCATAAGTTCTGTATGACAAAGGACACCATAAAGAAAGTTAAAAGACAAATGAGAAGGGGGAAGGTACAGCTCATGTGATAGAGTGCGTGCTTAACATGCATGAGGTCCTGGGTTCAATCCCCGGTACCTCCTCTAAAAAATAAATTAAATTAATAATCTTAATTTATTTAAGATTCTGCTTTTGTGAATATATCCTTCCAGAGCTAAAGTAACAGCACATAAGAGCTTGTGTGTAAGAACATTTATTGCTGCATTAGTTTTCGGTGGCAAAAATTAGAAGTTTCTCAGTAGGGGGATAGTTATGTAAATTATGGTAGGGTTTATTATGGAATATAATCACAGTTAAAATAATTAGGTTTAATTATATCAAATATCTTGATCTTTATTCAGTAGGAAAAAAGCAAGCCGTGGAGTCTTACATCCAATACCACATTTGGTTTTTTTAAAAGTGAGAAAAGTGGAGAAAATTCTTACGTGTGTGTATTTTTTAAGCATAGAGAAAGTTTACACTCCAGACTATTAACTTTGCTTATTCTAAGGAAATAGGATTGGAGAAGAGGAAATAGTAATCTTTATACATCTGTGTAGTAGTATATGAATTATTTTTGTAATTTTAAAAACAAGTGGAATTAAATTTACAAAAGTGCGATTTGTGCTACAGATAGAGTAAAGAATTTGTCACTTCCCCCTCTCTGCCAGCACTGTGATTTATGACATGCGTTACATGGCTTTATTATTGCAGTTATAGCTCATTATATTTTCATCCCTGGCACATGGCCCAGGCTGAGTCTTTTTTGAAGGAAGAAAGAAGACTTGTTCCAGGAGAATTCACTACATGCAATACTAAACTAAGTGCCAGGCCCAGCGCTGGGAAGTGGGTAGACAACAACAGATTAGGTAAATCTGGGCACCTGAGCATTGCAAGCCATTGAGGAGAGAGTGAATGACAGGCTTGCCTGGGAGGTCCCACTTGCATTTGACCTTGAAAGAGGCAGAGTAGGCTGGAACTGTGATGAAGCTTGGTGGACTGGAGAACTTTGGCCGGGTTGAATGATTGTGGTATGATGGTGCATGTATTCTGTCCTCCTGAAGATTTTTCTGGTATTATGAAAGTGAGATGATAAAAACAAGTTGCTCTGGACTCTTGGCATGTAAAGTAAGTTGCAGAAAGATCCCGGAATAGAAGCTGCGCTCCCAGGAAAGAGAGTGTGGTGAGCTAAGGAAGTAAGACTTGCTTTGGAGTGAGGGATGGTACCTCCTGTTTCATAAACACCCAGCGTAGGTCAGGGCCTGGCTGAAGCACTTCATAGGCTTTTCTCATCCATTTCACTTGATAACTCTCTCAGGTAGGCATTACTGCAGTTAGGAAAGCAGGGTCAGAGATGATACGGAAATTGCCCTCAGTCCCCTCCTGATAAATGGGAGACCTGGGATTTGGTCCACAGTTGTCCTGTGTATCCTGGAACCCTCCAAAAAACAAAACAAAACAAAAACAAAAACAAAAGCAAAATCACTGTGATGCTGAGATTCTCTTTGAATGTCCATCACATCAGAACTTCAGCCCTTGGTCTCAGGGTGAATGAAATTAAAGATATTTTTAGAGACTTGCCATGTACTTTCTAGATGTCATCTGTCGGATTTCACATATGAAGTTGAGGCCAGAAAAGTTAGACCTTGCCTTTTCCAAGGTCGCACATGGCCAGACCAGACCAGACCAGAGGGAAGTTCAGAGCCACGTTTCTGCCCCACCCAGGACTGTGCCCTCCCCCGGGCGATGCCTCAGGGAACATTAGGTTCACTGTGCTGGTCACGCAGGGCTGCTCTTTAGGGGAGATTTATGATGCGTGCCTTCCAGGCCTTCTTCGCATTAAATAGAAGTAATGCTTTGTGGTTCTCCATTGTTCTCTGTTGTTACTGCTGCTGCTGTTTTCCCAAAAGAGCTTTCACATCAATAATGACATCTTTACCTCTTAGCAGTCAGCCTCCTGGAGCAGGCTGAGCAGGTATTATTAGACCTGCTTTACAGATGAAGGCCCCGAAGAGCCGCAGTCGCCTGGCCCAGGGTCATACGGAGGAGGCTGAAGCCAAGAGCTGGATCTTCAGGTCCTCCAATCACTTGACATCTGGCTCAAATCAGGCGATTTCTAGGGGCTCGCACACTTAGGCAAGCGCACTGGCTTGGAGCACAGGCTCGGCGGTGTGACCTTAGGCAGCTTCTGCCCTCTCTAAACCAGTTTCTGCAACTATGAAAAGGGGATAATGCCAGCATGTTCTTGTGAGCATTGAATTCTCAGGAAAAATACCTAGTACAGTTCCTGGCACATTGAATCATCAAAAATTTAAACTATAATTAGCTATTATTATTATTGCAGTTAATAACTATTAATAGTTATCATCATTATAATTATATCATTGTCATTATTGTGGGACAGGAAGTCTGTCTTACTTGCCTTTTTTCCTTAGTGTTTATCATTAAGCCTTTCACACAGTCGATTCCAAATGGATATTTGTGACCCACATTCTGAGGTCCGTGATGGTCCTTCCTGAGTCTGTCGGTGAGAAAGGAAGGGGTTTGGAGTCAAACAAAGCTGGGTCCTAATCTGGCTTCATCATTGAGTTTCACTTTTCTTGTCTATAAAACTACTGCCTTGGAGTTTGGGGATCTTCTCTGTGATGGATCCAGCGACACAGTTGGTGCTCAGTAAATGGCAGCAGTAATTGCAGTAACAGAGAATCAAACGTGG